GCCCGGGGGGATCGGGCGCGGCCCGGCTCCCGGCGCCGGCCGTGCGCTTTGTCCGGAAAGTTTCCGTTGCGGGAGATGGCGGTCGGCGGGGAGCGGTGGGGAGGCACCGGGAGAGGCCGCCTGGAGAGGCTGCGGCTGCCCCCTCCCTGGCAGGGCTCAAGGCCGGGTTGGACGGGGCTTTGGGCGACCTGGGCTGGTGGAAGGTAGCCCTGCCCGGGGCAGGGGGGGGGCACTGGAGGGGCTTTGAGGTCCCTTCCAGCCCAGCCCGCTCTGTGATTCTCTGTTAAGTGTGCGGGTCGAGATGGAAAAGGGGGATGGACGAGGAGTTCCCCAAGGGGGGCTGGGCCGTGACGCCCGCCCCAGCCCTGGGGGTTCCCCCGGGACAGGGACGGCCCCGGCAGCGCCGACCCTTGGTGCTGCCCCCGAGGCGTCTCCGGGCGCTGCCGCGCTGACTCGGAGGCAGTTACTGCATCAGCCCTCCCGGTTGGTGTCTGTGCTGGGTCACACATCACCTTCCCCGGGGGGTTGTGGGCAGCCCGTCTACAGCAGCAGGCCCGTCCCGGGGTATGGGAACGGCCCGCACAAAATCCGTAGGGAGGCAGAAATGGCCCACTTGTAAATTTAGTTCCTTCATGTTTTCAGGCTTTAGGCTGCTGCTTCTCTTTTTCTAACACATGCAAGAAGTTGACTTTTTTGGTTTCCATATACCCAGCGTTTGGGTGTTCCTGCATATGTTGGGTCTCTTGTTTTCTGACTGGGAAGTACGCTGTATAAATAAAAAACACTCAAAATTTAAACGCCAGTTTCTCTAGACGTTTCCTTCATAATTGCTGCTATCAACTTCTCAGAAAGGAACATTAGGCAGATCATAAGTACTCTTTTTTTTTTATTGCAGATCCTTAACTGTGACCTAAATTCTTCATACTAATCTTCACTTTTTTGCAAAATTTTTTTAGTTAAAAAAAAACCCAAAACTTTAAGCATGTGCCATATTTGTCAGTCATCTGGGTTCTTCTAATGGTCGATTAGGCCAGTTGATTGCAGCAGACTGTGCCTGCCTCTTCATTTTTGTTGTTATGACTTCACAGGCCTGGTTTTTTCTCGCTGCTCCTGGTGAGGTTTCTCCAGTCTCTGTTGTGGGAGTTTCCCAAACACAGCTGTTGGCACTACTAGATGGTGTAAATCATATCAAAGCGATACAAACCAACATTCGGTTGACTTTTACAGAGGAGACAAGATATGATTGTGAAGTCACTGATGGAGCACTTGTGAATGTCTGTCCTGCTGCTGCCCTGACCTTCCCACCAGAGGAGCCAGGGCTGGAGGCCCTGACCCAAGGCGGGTCTGACAGCCCACAGCCACCGTTTGAGAATTCATCTCGTTGATCTCGGTGCTGGCTGCTTGGTGAACTACTGCTTGTTCCTATGCATAAATTAGAAGGCAAGAGCATAAAAGACAGATTGAAGTTAATTTTTTTTCCCTGCTTTTTTTTTTTGTTGTGAATTTCATTTGCCTTGAAGCTGCCAATTCCCTAGTTTTGATACAGCACCTAAAGCTTCTCAGCATCTCCTTCTCACAAGTCATCACATTTTTATGACTTCTTCAAATTCTGTCATATTCCTGTTTGCTGTTTTTCAGATAATGGTAGCATTTATTTTTAATAACTGAAACACTTCATAGCGTGGTCCAGTTGATAATGTGCATTATATTTTTCTATAAAGAAGATAGGTAATTTATCCATATTCTTTCTTTCTTTCTTTTTTATTCCAGTTTCTTAGCCAGTTCTTCTACATGGCAAAATACTCTCTCTTCCTAGGTTATAGTTTTGATATTGCATATACTTCTACTGAGCAATGATTTTTGTTTTCTAGTCTGTATAATCAAGACTTCTGTCCTGAGTTTCCGTATGAAGAACAACATAGAGTCTTTATTATTATTTGGAAGAAGGTGATATGTGATTGTCTACATGCTACCAACAACACATAGCAAATGAGTTGTTTATACTGACTTGGGAATGTCAATGGTATCTGGTAAATTACATGTCTTAATAGGAGCATAAGAAGCAACAGGTGACAAAAAAATCTTTGTTAAATGACAAGACGTGTGATGTAGATAAAGTGAACATCTGGGCTGCTGATGGGAGTATGATGAAGTAATGGAGATAAGAAATGAAAAGAGGATGTAAAAGACTAGAGAATGTTATTGGCATGGTAAATGCAAGAACCGTTTCATTAAGAAAAAATAAGTACAGTGTAAAAACAAGTAAGTTAGGATCTAAAATATTTGTAACGGTGTGGTAAAGTCTAGGTAGAAAGCACCGAAGGAATCGGAGACAAAGAACACTCCATCGTGCCCCAGTGCAAGGGCAATGACTGGCTTTTGCATGGGCAGTGTAGGGGGTCTCATCCCTGTTTTGGTTCCAGTTCTAGTTCAGCTGGACTTGAAAAGGTTGAACACCTCCTTGTTGCAGAAACCAGTGGTTTCCTTTTCAGAGGATGGTATGCACATCTTCACAGTGCAGGTGACTTTGTAACTGAAAAGTGAAACATGCAAAAAGAATTATGCTGCTAATGTGACTTGTTCTGCTTTGTTAGGACACCAGGACTGGACATCACAGACAACAGAAGGTCAAGAGGTCTCTGGGAAACAAAAAGTATGTGAATGTTTCTTGTCTAGTTGGAGTGAGGGCAAGGAAAAAGGGGAGAGATTCCTATTGGAAAACCGTATCTGGTCTTTACATAATACTCTGAATTTTAAGAGCTGCAACGATTTTGGTTTGTGTGATGAGAGTCAACTGCCTTTGCTTATTGGTTTGAAGGAAAAGTGCTTTTCTGATACTTCAAGCAGTATTAGCTTTCATTTATTTTTAAAAGGATTTTAACACTTGGAAGGTAAGTATTCAATGTTCAAGACCAAATGGTGTTCTAAAACCTGTGTGTTTTTGAGTGTGATCGCAACTGAAAGGCTTTCATTTGAGAATTCCTCTCCCCACTCTTCTGCAATACCTTCTTAAACACAGTATATACTGATCTGACCTGGTACCGTCCGTGTCCCCCACTGATTAATTTCTGGATTGATGTGTTGAAACACGTGAGCTCCACAGCTCTGGGGGTGGGGGAGTGTGGCTGGGGTGGCCACCAGTCATCATTCTAGCCATCTACTTCTTTCAGTTTGTGAATTGTACTAGCTATGGGTTATGTTGAAAAGTGTTTCTGTTTTCTGTTCTTTCCTCTTACATTAATGTTGTTTGCCCAGAGAATAGATACCTCTGTGTTTCTCTGACACCTAATCGTTTTGCTGTCATGTGCAATAGTTCAAGTGTCCACGCACTTCAGGGCTGCGAGAAGTATTTGAGAATAGTGAAGCAAAGTTCCTTCTGAACTCTAGGAAGAAAAATCAGTGCTGCTGGCTAGTCTAAATCAGCCTTACTGTAGTGTGATTTGTAGGATACACTGTAAGGCTGTCTTCATTGCTGAAAGCCTCGCTGGTTAAAATTCATAGTAGCGTTAAGTCTTTTACAGTTCTCGGAATAAATACTGAATAAGATCTTGCCCTCTGAGGCATTCAAAATATCTCTTTTGTAATAATGAGCTGCAGAAGAATTCTTATATTCCACATAGGTTGTTTAAGGATTAATGTATATTTTTAAATTGAGATCTAAGTTGTGCCTGCTTCTTAAGTTGAAGGCTTGAGGTAAGTTGAATATTTTTTTCTGTTCTTCTCGAGTAACTTTCTGATATCATTCTCTAAAAGATGTACTAAAAAATAACATTCAGGAAGTTATTCTGGCACTTCCTAGTTCACAAAAGTCAGGAGATTCAGTGAACTGAGAGATGAATTTTTAGTCTACTTGGGAAGACAAAAGGGAAAGGGATGTTGTCTGTCAAGTTATTGTTATTGTGTGTGTCTGTATGCGTACATATACATAAGGATTTCAACTTGATGTTTTCCAGGTCTAAGCAATTTGAGGAGGTGGAAACTACTGTCCTAGAACTGAACAGTAACTATGATGAGACAGACAGCAACATTTCTTCTGCCTCACCGAAAGGCCGAGTGAACGGAAGCGCAGAGTCCAGAAGCAAACGGAGCATTCGCCGGCCTGCTTACTGGTTGGAAATGAGAGAGATGAAAAACAGTATTAACAAATCTTCAGAAAAAAAAGGTACTCATCACTTTTGGCTGGATGAAAAACTATATTTCTCTCTGGTTCTTTTATGAGAGATTAGATGACTTCTGAAAGACATGCTGCGGTTCAGCCACAAATTACAAGCTTGGTAATGGTGTGCATGTATGAGGAGAAATAAACTTCCTCCACTGCAGAAACGTAGGTGAAATTCTGTGGTGTTACATGGTTCCTTCTGAGTGACTTGTCTATTAAAATTAATGATTCTGTGACAGAACTCAGTTGTATCCGTAGAAGGGATATGTGTAAGGATTTTGTCAGTCATATCAGGAATATGCTTTGAGATATTGTATAAATAGAACAAAGAACAGTAAAGATGTAGAACAAGGGACCATTCAACAGTATTCTGGATTAGACGCAGCTTTTGTGGTTGGTAGATTTTTTTTTTTTCAGGATGTTTTTATTTTTTATTTTCTCGCTTCTGTCACTTATGATTTTCTGATTTGGAGTGGTTTGGGTCTTGTGTTTTTGTAGGAACGTTCAGATTTCCTGGCTTAGGAGCTGTTTCCCAAACTTGTCACGTGGTAGAGAGCCAAAACTTCACTCTCCTTTAATGCGCTTTCTTCTTATCTCTAAGTCGGAGTCTGTATTCCATCCTGTAGTGGGGAGAGCCGAATCTGGTAGCTTGGCAGAAGCAAGGTTGCTGCAGCTCCACGCCCCCAGGTCCAACCAGTAGTGAGACTAAACTGTATTCCTGTAGGTACAAACACACACATACAAGGTGTGTACACAGATCAACACGAAGGTTGCTCAACACTCACTCACACAGAACCAATGGCCTTCGTCCTGTTTCCCTCTCTGGCTGATAAGGATGCAGATGTGTGAGTGAGAGAAAAGCAGCATATATAAAAAGTACCTGTAAAAGCAGTACATATATGTGTATGTTTGCACACGTGTGCAGTGTGTCTCTGCTGTATCTGCACTCACACACTGCACCTGCTTGGCATCTGGCCCTCGGATCCCAGTCTCCTCGGTGGCTGGTACATGGACGTGCTGGCCCGAGGCCTGCAGAGCCATGCCGGCTGCTGATGTAGACCTTGCAGACCGGCTCACACTCAGACTCTGCTCTCCCCTGGTCCCTCTGATTTGGTGTCAGGCGTGACCAGACTTGTGCATTGACCACCCACCTTGTTTACAGGCAAGTGGCCCTTTTTATCCTTGTACACCTCTCTTTCCCTACACTTGATCCTCCCCAAATCAGCTAATTCTCTCCCTTTCCCTTCCTTTGATATAACTCCTAAGCATCCCAGTCTTGTGTCATCCTGAATTGTTCTTTGTTACCATCCCACACGTCACATAACCCTGGGCATTAACACCACACGCCCCCTTCTCACCATTGCCCCCCTTCCTCCTTCCAAAGGGTGCTCCAGAGAGCGGTTCACATTGACTCATCCTGGTGAGTCTCCTGGGACAGACCTGGGAGGAAGGTGTCTGTTTCTTTGAGTCTTTGAGTAATTGTGCTCCCCTGCCTGCCGTTGTGCTTCTGTACTTCTCTGTGTTGATGGAGATAAGCCATTGATAGGCCTGGAAACAGTGAGGGGAGGCAGGATATTATTTAGGTTTCCGCACCTACCATTGTTTCTCTGTGCTTCTTTTTGTGTGTGTGCAGATGAGCTTTTGATGACATAACTTAGCACGTTCTGGCTCTGTTCCTGAGTAGTATTATTTTCCCAGACCGTGCTGTGGCACTGTTTCTTCCATATCTTCTGTGTCAGAGGATTGCAGGCTGTGGAGTGCCCAAACGTTACTGAGTCAGAAGGCTGTGTCTAGCTCACTGGTGTCCAGCTGCCTTACAAAAACTACTTTAAGTATTGAATACGAGGATAAGCTGAGGCAGTAGCAGACTCAAAGCTGTTATCCAGACTGAATAATGTGACCAAAACATTTCTGTTCTTACTCATTATCAGGGGAAATGCTGTTGAAAGGCAAGAGGAAATCTAAGCAAGGGGAAGGTGAGGATCTTAAAGACTCTCCCAAAAAGAAGCAGAAGATTTCAGGTAATACGAATAACTTGTACTTCCTAATTACGAGTCTCCAGGTACTTCAGAATTCTCTCTGCCCAGATGCTATCCTCTGCTGTCTTCCAACTGTATTTCTGATTCTGGTTATTTTGTTAAAGGGGATTGTTGACTAGTTTCTGTTTTACGGTGGAGATGGTTGGTCTAATTTCAGTCTCTTGAGAAAGTCCAACAAAGGGAGGAAGGAAAAGAAGTAGAGGAAGTATAGGTTAGTCTGCTTCGTTTGAGTTCCCCAAAAGATTCTGGACTAAATGATTAGACAAATTACTTTTAAACATCTGGAGATTGAGTAGATGATACAGCAATATGGGTTTGTTAAGGAGAAATCAAACCCAACCACTTTAATTTTCTTTTACCACAGAGACAGAGGGGGGAAATGCTTGACATCATATGTCTTTTGTGCCTTCAAAGGGCTGTTAATCAGTGGTTAAGTGCAAAAGTGATGTAAGTAGGAGCAGGTGACACAGGAAAAGTATACATTTGCTGTCCAGTCTTGCAAGGATGAGGTTAGGAAAGCCAAGGCCAACCTGGAGTTGAATCTGGGAAGGGATTTGAAAGGCAACAAGAAATGATTCTACAAATGCATGAAAAGCAAAGAGAAGACATGGGAAAGCATTGAGTACGCTGCTGAGCAGGGGAACTGGTGACAAATGACATGGAAAAGGCTGAGGTACTCAGTGCTTCCTATGCCTCAGTCTTTATCACTTAAAGGGTTCCTGCAGGAATCCCAGATGCCTGAGACCAGAGGGAAAGTGGAGCAGGGAAGCCTTACACTCAGTGAAGGAGGATGAGGTTAGGGCACTTAAACTGGACATACCTAACCATTTATCAGCAGTTCTGGCTACCTGGAGGTGAGTAAATGTGTCGCCCATCTACAAGAAGGGCCGGAAGGAGGATCTGTGGAACTACGGGCCTCTCAGTCTGACCTTGGTGCCAGGGAAGGTTGTGAAGCAGATCATCCTGAGTGCCATCACCTGGCCTGGACAACCAGGGGATCAGGCCCAGTCAGCATGGGTTTATGAAAGGCAGGCCCTGCTTCACTAACCTGATCTCCTTCTGTGACAAGGTGACCTGCTTAGTGGATGAGGGAAAGGCTGTGGATGTTGTCGACCTAGATGTTAGTAGTTAGTATGGCCTTTGACACCCACAGCATTCCCCTGGGGAAACTGGCTGCTCTTGGCTTAGACAGGTGTACTCTTTGCTGGGTAAAAAAACTGGCTGGGTGGCCGGGCCCAAAGAGTTCTGGGGAATGGAGTTAAGTCCAGTTAGCAACTGGTCACAAGTGGGGTTCACCAGTGCTCAGTACTCAGGCCTGTTTATTATCTTTGTCACTTATCTGGACAAGGGGATTGAGTGCACCCTCAGTCAGTTTGCAGACCATGCCAAGCTGGGCAGGAGTGTTGATCTGCTTGAGGGTAGGAAGGCTCTGCAGAGGGGTCTGGGCGGGCTGATCGATGGGCTGAGGCCAACTGCATGAGGTTCAGCAAGGCTCAGTGCCAGGTCCTGCACTTGGGGCACAACCACCCCACACAGCACCATAGGCTTGGGGCAGAGTGGCTGGAAAGCTGCCTGGTGGAAAAGGACTTGGGGGGGGTTGGTCGACAGCGGGTGAATATGAGGTGGCAGCGTGCCCAGGTGGCCAAGAAGGCCACTGGCATCTTGGCTTGTATCAGAAACAGCAGGGACAGGGAAGGGATCTGACCCCTCTACTCAGCACTGGTGAGGCTGCCACCTCAAACACTGGGTTCAGTTTTGGGCCCCTCACTACAAGAAAGATGTTGAAGTGCTGGAGCATGTCTGAAGAAAGGCAGCGAGTCTGGTGAAGGGTCTGGAGCACAAATCCTGTGAGGAGCAGCTGAGGGAACTGGGATTGTTTAGCCTGGAGAAAATGAAGCTCAGGGGAGACCTTGCCACTCTACAGTTACCTGAAAGAAGGTTGTAGCAAGGTGAGGGTCGGTCACTTCTCCCAAGTAACAAGAGGAAGTGACCTTGAGTTGCACCAGGGGTGGTTTAGATTGGATTTTAGGAGATATTTCCTCGCTGAAAGGGTTGTCAAGCACTGGAACAGGCTGCCCAGGGAAGTGTTTGAGTCACGATCCTTGGAGGTATTTAAAAGACATACAGATGTGGCACTTTGGGACGTGGTTTAGTGGTGGACTTGGCAGTGCTGGGTTAACAGTTGGACTCGATCTTAAAGGTCTTTTCGGACCTGAACGCTTCTATGAATCTGAGTCCCAAGGGGCCTGACAGGTTGCAGGGGTGCTGAGAGAGCTGGCTGATGTCATTGTGAGGTCACTCCTGATTGTCTTTGAAAGGTCATGGTGACTGAGAAAGGTTCCTGAAGACTGAAAGAGCAAATATCAATCCTGTCTTCAGGGACAGAAAGAAGGAAGATCCAGGGAACTACAGGCTGATTAGCCTCATGTCAGTCCCTGGGAAGGTGATGGAGAGAGTCTTCCTGGAAAGCATTTCCAAATGTGGAGAAGATGGTGACTGGGAGTAGTCAGCATGGATTCATGAAGGGCAAATCATGCTTAATCAACCTGATAGCCCTCTATAATGAGGTCACTAGCTTGGTGGATGAGGGGAGAGCGGTGGATGTTGTTCACCTCAACTTTGGTAAGGTTTGTGGTGCTGTTTGCCACAGCATCCTTGTAGATGAGCTGACAAAGTACAGGTTAGATAAATGAACACCACAGTGGATTGAAAACCAGCTGAACATCCAAGCTCAGAGGGTTGTATTCCACATCTAGTTGGAGGGACATGATTAGTGGTATTTACCCCAGGGGTAAATACTGGGGCCAGTACTGCTCAACATTTCCATTAATGACCCAGAAATGAGACAGTGTGCACCCTCAGCAAGTACCCAGATGGCACAAAGCTGGGGGGAGTGGTGGTACAGCAGAGGTGTGCTGCCATCCACAGGGCCAGGATGGGCTGGAGAATTAAGCAAAGAGAAACCTCTCGAGGCTCATCAAGGAGAACTGTAAAGTCCTGTGGCTGGGCAGGAATAACCCCACATACTGGCATATGCTGGGGGCTCACTGTCTGGAAACCAGCTCTGCAGGCAGGGACCTCGGGGTCCTGGGGGGACAGCAAGCTGACCACGAGCCAGAGACACGCTCCTGTGACAAAGGCAACCAACAGCCTTCTGGGCCACATTAGGAAGAGTGTTGCCAGCAGGTCGAGGGGTGCTCCTTCCCCTCTGCTCAGCACTGGTGAGGCCACACCTGGAGTGCTGTGTCCAGTTCTGGGCTCCCCAGTACAAGAGAGACATGGACATACTGAGAGAATCTAGTGCAGGGCTCCAAAGATGACTGAGGGACTGGAATATCTTTCCTATGAGGCCAGGCTGAGAGAGCTGTGACTCCTCAGTGTGGAAAAGAAAAGGCTCAGGAGGAATCTTATCGGTGTGTGTAAAGACTTGATGGGAGGGAATGAGAAATGGGGAGCCAGACTCTTCCTGTAGTGCTCGCTGACAGGACAAGAGGCAGTGGGCACAAATTAAAACATACAAAATTATATCTAAAGGTGAGAATACACTTTTTTACTGTGAGAGTGATCAAACTGTGTCACAGGTTGCCCAAAGAGGTGGTTGAGTCCCCATCAGTGGAGATAGATACTCAAAACTTGACTGGACACATTCTTTGGCAACCTACTGTAGCTGACCCTGCTTGAACACTGGCATTAGTTTAGGTTGGGGTTGGTTTAGGCACCTGGTTCAGCAAGTCCCTTCCAACCTTAATGTTTCTGTGATTTCTGTGAAATAGAAAAGAAGCGTAGAATGGTGGTCCACAATCTGTCCTAGATTCAATTTTAACTACTGTTTTTGTCACCAAGGACTTGAAAGTACATAGACAACACAAAGCTGAAAGACATGGCAAGTGTGTTGGAGAAAAGACTAAAAATGAAAGTGGAGAAACAGTTTAAATAGAATGGAATATAGTCTGTAAAATGAAAAGATACTGTAGTTAGGAAGAAATATTAGTACAGCTGAAAGACAGAACAGCCTAGGTGTCAGTTCTTCAGAAGAGGATTTGAGATTTCTAACAGATCAAAAGCTGAATAGGGACTAGCAGTGTCATACTTGTTTTGAAAAAAGGCAGATGTTATACTGAGGTATTTGAGCAGGAATGTAGGCTTTCAGACATGTGAAGTCATTATTTTGCTCTAATGCAGGGTCACACTTGGAGCGCTGCTCCCAGCAGTGGGCACTGCAGTTCAGGAAATGTGTAGACCAGCTGAAGGGAGTAAAAAGCATAACCCTTGAGAAAATACTGAAACAATCAGAGTTGTTTAGTCTAAACAGGAATGAGTAGAGGAATGGTACTGTCCGTTTGGTTGTCAACAAGTCCTTAGATTGGCTCAGCTGTGCTGTGAACTGGATATTTCAGTGTGAAGAGTTCCCACCTCTGAGCTTTGTGTATGAACAACCATACAGATTACAGATATCTGGATGGGACTACTGCCTGCAGCTGTGAATTTTGCAAGCCTGTGGATTTTGAAAGGGAGTAGGGAACATGATCTTGATGTTCCTTTTAAAACAAAAGCATTGGACATTTCTGAATTGAGTAACTTTGAGACTGCAAAGTAAATAGCAGCCTCCTCGAAAAAAACTCTGCTATTTTGTAACAAGGCTTGCAGAATGAAGTCTTCTGGTTTTTCTTGTTTGTGTAATAACAGGAAAAAGACAGCAAGCTGGAACACAACAAAACTCCAAAACGAAAGGCCACTGTGTTCAGAAAGAACCAGAAACCTATGGCGCAGGTAAGAAGAAGAAGCAGCAGTTGCTCAGAATTCTTTATAAAGCAGCTAAAAGAAAAATGTGATTCTAGGATTTGAATCTGAGCAACAGCTGTGTTTCTGGTGTTTCCATTTTCTTGCTCACTTTATGGTGACAAGGAAGAACTGGCTGCTGTCCTTCTGGCACTGTGTCAGTACTGCAGAGCAAGGCTGGAGGGACTGCATGCTGCCTAATAGTGCAGTGCCACATGGTTTTACCACTGCGTAATGGAACAGTGAAGGGGTAGTCGCTTTTTGAACTGAGGAGAAGCCCGTTAAAATAGTTTCACTATAAAACTCAAAAATATTTATACTTTCTTATTCAGCAGTGTCTGTGGGAAAAACTCTGTAGCTGTGGTGCCAAATCACCTCTTCTGGTGACCTGGCAGCCAGAGACCCAAGCAGTCCATCCTAGGAAAATACCATTAGCCTTGACTCAGCAAGTGGAATGACTTGGTACGTGTATCTTACAGCACTTGTTAAATAACCCAGTGTTCTGCCAAGTGCTCTTTGATTCAGACTTTCCCCAAGCCACCTAGGGAGGGACAGCCCCTGCCTGTTATTACTGGGCAAAGAGGAAAGCCTTTAGATGTTTAATGATAATAATTCGGTCAGGTGGCTGCTAAACTACTTTCTTCCCAGAACCCATTCAGTAATTTATAATCCTTCTGTGTTATGCCAAGCTTCTGCTTGGCATTTCAGAAGGAGGCTGGGAATGGAAACCGTGCCACACAGGGTACTTTTCCTTGGCTGTGGAATAACTTGGCCTGGTGGTGCAGCTCTGTTCTTCCAGTGCCCAAGCTGCTGGCTAGTGTAAGTGGAGTTCTAAAGATCTGGTTAGCAGAACTGAACTGTGAACTTTGTCTGAAACTGTTCAGTCACGTCTGTGACTGTTTTTACTGTGAAAACCCTTTTGTCAAAAGAAAAGTTTACTCTGCATGCTAAAGCAATTGTGTAATAATAATGAACGAAGGAAAAATCTCTACTGAAGAAGTGGAAGAACACTCCTCATGAGGGGATGGTGGGATTAAAGAGTTCATAAAATTATCTCCCAAAAGGAGTGATGTGTGCCTTTCTCACATGACACATTCAAAGCTGCAAATGAGCTAAACCTATTGAAGTGTTGCTGGACATGAGTTTGGTAGCATGTGACCTGTTTCCTTCTAGGATTCACTGTGCACATTGAAGGGGAAAAAAAAAGATACTGTGTTTGCAGTTCTGTTCCAAACCTTTTGTTCTGACAGGTAGCATGGAAGAGCAATGGTCTTTGGAAATTCAGGACAAAGGCCGAGTTACCTGTCCAACTTGCCGAGCTGTGGTGAGAAAGACTGTAGAAGGCCTGAAGAAGCATATGGTAAATTGCAGGCAGGTGAGAACATGAGAAGTGAGCAATGTTTTCTTTATTCATCTTCATCTTACTGGTAGAAATGCCGGCATATTTAAAACCAGTTCCATCATCATGTCTTTTATACATATGTATAAAGAGCCCTTTATACATCTGTAAGAGGCTGCACTTGGTCCTTCTTGCTTAGTCTTTTGCTGGAGGTTTGGGGTAGTGAACAAAGGTGTAGCTATTTCATTGTTCCCCTGAATTTTAAGCTCCATAAAATCTCTTCTGTTCTTAATGAGCAGTTACCAGGCCCAAATAAGATGTTCTGCTTTCTGACTCGTTTCCCACTGCTCTGGTTAATTTAGTTACACACACCATGTCCTCATTTATTTCTAGGAAATGTTCACATGCCATCACTGTGGGAAGCAGCTGAAGTCTTTAGGAGGGATGAAATACCATGTCATGGCGGAACATAACAATCAGGTAACACAACTGCTGTGCATCTAAAAATCCTACAGGCAAGACAGTCTTTTGTTCCTTCCCTGATGCACACAGAAGCAGAACACGGTGTGTGTTTTTTCAAATGTTTTAGTTGTTCAAATCTTGTCAACCTATTATTTTTCCTCTGAGATTTGATGTCTGAAAAAAACAGTAGAATGTTACCAGAGATGGTAGGCATGCTACATCTTAGGGGATGAACTTCTGTTAAAGCTGATTGTCACACATAAAAAGCATTCTCAATCAGGAAAAAAAAAAAAAAAAGATTGCTCATTAGGCCGCAATTTTCAGTCCTTGCTAGAAAGTAGGATTTTTTTCTATGCCCAGGGCAGACTAGATTTCAGTTCTTTACAAGTTCAAAGGTAAAAAAAACAGAAGCAACAGTTCAGTTCTTGTCTCTATTTACTGTAAAATTATTAATGCTACAATCTGCTTTTCCTCTTTGCTATTACTTTAAAGAAGGCAATGTCTCCTGTTGCAGTTGTGAAGAACTAGAACTTTTGAAAAGGTCATTCAGAAGTTTGGGTAAGGTTTAGATAGTTCTTTACTGTTATTTTTCACATAGTTCCCAGTACTGTGGTTTTTGAACCTACAGCTGCACTAGTAAATGAAATAGGCCAGGGATCATGTTCTGGCCCTGAGGAATAGGTCTGTCTCTCAGTTCTAACTTCTTACTCAGTCTAGGTGTAGTATTACTGTATGGTAGCATAGGAAGTAACATACAATAACCATGACAGCGAATAGAGAAGAACTTGTGCTGTAGCTTAGCGTAGGTGAATAACCGTTACAGGCAGTTAGTCTGCTTAGCTTTAGTTGGACTAAGTGAAAATCCAGTAAATGTTAAAGGTGTGTGACAGAGATGAGTAAATACTTCCCACAGGCAGAAGAGGAGAAAAGTAATTTTGGAAATACATGCCCTTGTCCTTCCCAGCAGCTGCAGTGTGGGACCATTTCTTATCAAGGTTTTGTTCATAGCTAGCTAGCTAAATGTTAAAACTCTTTTCTGCAAAGTGGGTTTTAGGGAGTTTACTCCTTTTAAAGGTAATACAGTTGTTCTGGGATATAGGCAGTGATCGCTGTATTAGATATAACATCACAGAGTTGCAGAGATTTAACTATTTTAGAAGCTTTCCTTCAGCGGCACGTTGAGTAGTGAATTCCCTATGAGAAGAACTGTAAATTCTGAGCATCCTGTGTTTTTCTTTCATCTTTCTGCTGTGCTCTAGCCAGTAGTGAAGGAGGGAGGAGAACTGGATGAACAGCTCGAGCGAGACCGCCTTCGGAAGGTTCTGAAGCGTATGGGAAAACTAAAGTGTACGAGGGAGGTAAGCTGCATTGTCCTAAGGACCCTGAATTAAACAGCAGTGTATGCGTGAACATAGAGTATTATGAGAGTTCTGCTGGCTCTGCTTTGGTGCTGGCCAAAGTTGGATTTATTTCAAGATCCTAGCTATGCTTTTAATCATAGAATGGTTTGGGTTGGAAGGGGCCTGTGCAGGTGATGTAGTCCAGCCCCCTGCCCTGAGCAGGGACATCCTCAGCTAGATCAGGCTGCTCAGAGCCCCGTCCAGCCTGACCCTGAACGTGTCCAGGGACAGGGTGTTTGCAGCCTCTCTGGGAAACCTGTGCCAGTGTTTCACCACCCTCACTGTAAAAAATTTCTTTCTTTTATCTAGTCTGAATCTACCCTCTTTTAGTTTAAAACCATTAGCCCTTGTCCTATTGCAGCAGGCCATTTTAAAAAGTCTATCCCCATCTTTCTTGTAAGCACCCTTTAAGTGTTGAAAGGCTGCAATAAGGTCTCCCCAGAGCCTTCTCTTCTCTGCTGAACCACCCCAACCCTCTCAGCCTGTCACAGCAGAGGTGTTCCAGCCCTCTGATCATTTTTGTGGCCATTTCTGGACCCACTCCATGTCTTTCCTGTCCTGAGGACTCCAGAGCTGAGCGCGGTGCTCTGGGTGGGCTGTCACCAGATTCTGCGCCCCTTACTATGCAGCCCAGCACATGGGTGGCTTACTGGGCTGCGTTCATTGCTGGCTCGTGTCCAGCTTTTTTCATCCACCAGTTCTCCCTGGGGCTGGTCCCCTCCCTTCAGCCCCCAGCCTGGGTTGATACCAGGGATTGCCCCGACCCATGGGCAGGACCTTGCCCTTGGCCTTGTTGAACCTCATGAGGTTCACGCTGTCCCACTTCTGGAGCTTGTCCAGGTCCCTCTGAACGGCATCCCACCCCCCAGGTTTGCCAGCTGCCCCACTCATCTTGGTGTCATCTGCAAATGTGCTGAGGGTGCACAGACCCTCAAGGGACACCACTTGTCACCGATCTCCCTCCGGACCTTGAACTGTTGACCAGTGCTCTGGCTGTAACCATTCAACAAGTTCCTCATCCACCAAACAGTCCACCCATCAGATCCATCTCTCTCCAATTAAGAGAGAAGGATCTTGTGGGGGACTGTGTCAGAGGCCTTACAGAAGTCCACATGGATGACATTTTTAGCATTTCCCTTGCCCACTGATGCAGTCACTCCATCCTAGAAGGCCACTAGGTTGGTCAGGCAAGACTTGCTCTTGGTGAAGCCACGTTGGCTGTCTCAAATCACCTCCCTGTCCACCATGTGCCTTAGCACAGCTTCTAGGAGGATATGCTACGTGATCTTTCCAGGCACAGAGGTGAGGCTGACAGGTTGGTAGTTCCCGGGATCATCCTTTCTACCTTTTTTTTAAAACGGGTCCAATGTTTCCCTTTTTCCAGTCTCTGGGCACTTCACCTGCCTGCCATGATTTTTCAGATATCATGCAAGCAACTACATCAGCCAGTTGCCCCAGGACTCCGGGATGTATCTTGCCAGGTCCCACAGTCTTAACGTATGTTCAGGTTCCTCAGGTGGTCACGAACCTGATCTTCTCTTGCAGTGGGAGTGACTTTGCTCCCCCAGTCCTTGCCTTGAGGTGTGGGAAGAGAGATCAACCGTGATGACTGAGGCAAAAGAGTTGTTGAGCACTTCAGCCTCTCCTTGTCTGTTACAAATTTGCCAGTTGTGTTTGTCGGGTCGTACCCTTGCTTTCACCTTCCTTTTCTGGCTGACATAGTAGCCTTTCTTACTGTTCTTTGCATCCCTTGCCTAGTTCAGCTCTAGCAGTGCCTTGGCCTTCCTGACCCCATCCCTACACAACCAGCAATGTCCCTATGCTCTTCCCAGGACACCTGTCCCTGCTGCCACTGCCTGTGCATTTCCTTCTTGCCCTTTAGTTGACTGGCAGTTCTTGACTCAGCCATGCCAGCCTCTTCCCTCCCCTTCCTCATCTCTTACCCATGGGGACTGAGAGCTTTTGTGCTCTGTGGAAAGTGTCCTTCAAGACCTGCCAGCTCCATTCTGCTCCCTTATCCCCCAAGGGCAGTTTCCCAGGGGGTCCTGTTGACTACCTCCTTGAACAGCTGCAAGTTTGCTTTCCTAAAATTCAGGGTCCTGGCTGTTCTCTTTGCCTGCCCCATACCCCTCAGGACCACAGACTCCACCAGTGCATGGTGAGTGCAGCCCCGGCTGCCTCCAGCTGTGGTGTCTCTGATGAGCTCTCTTGCCTTGGTGACCAAGTGTCACATCCCCTCTGGGAGGGCTCTCTGTTACCTGGCCTCAGAATTTTCCTCAGCACGCTCTGGGAGTCTCCTGGATTGCTCACAGCTCTCCCTGCTACTTCTGCAGCAGATGCTGGGGTGTTGGAGTACCTGGCAGGATGGGGGGGTGTGAGGAGCGGTGCCTCCTGCCGTGGGAGCCCCAAGCCTCCGTCAGCAAGTGCCCCTTGCTGGGGCAGCCTGTGCCAAACGCTGGCCACGAGGTTCCCTTTGTTGTCTCACCCTCTAATTCTTACCAATAAGCTTTCAACCTGCTCGTGGTTATTCTTCAGACAGCTCTTCACATTCTCTCCTTTCCTTGATGCAGGGGACCCTTCCCTGCCCATCCCGTCTGAGCCCCTCTGGCCCTGGACAAGCACTTCAGCCGTGGGATTCATCCCACCACGTTTCAGCAATGTCAGCAGGGTAGTGGCTCTCTATCATCATGGTGGCTTCCAGCTCTTGCTGGTTATTACCCTGCAGCCTGCACTGGGCCCTTGGCCATGTCGGCTTTTTAGGGGAACACACCTTAATTTCTTTGAGGTATTTCACTGGTGGTCCCCTGTTGTCTCCTGTTTACCTCAGGAGCCCCTGATTTATCTCTGCAAGACTGGAGTGTGCTCCAGGGTACCCAGCACATATCAAAGCAACAGGCTGAGGGCCCTTGCTGGCACCCTGACCCTCAAACCTTGGCATGTGATCCCATGGCTTGTCACAGGCCAGCCTGATGTTATCCCCTTTCCCTTTCAATTCTAGTAGTCCCTTGAGGGACTTTGGTGGGATGCTGTGTTACCTGGAAGGCAGCAGGATGCCAGGAGAATTCCCTCTAAACACCTGTGAAGCACTGAGCATAGAGAATGAATTTTGGAGTGACTGATGCTTGGTTAGAGCCTCATAACTAAATAAAGTAGGAGTCTGGTGAACACTGCCTAACTCAACCAGAAGCTTCAGGGCTTCACACACAACTTGTTAGGTGACATTCTCTGGCTTACACTAGAAGGGAATCCACCTTCGGTTGCTCTCTGATCCCCATTTGAACTCTCAGAGAGGATAACTAGGGTGATTAAAATGGAGTTTTTTTGTTTGGTTGTTTGGGGTTTTTTTAAGGACTTCTCTAAACTAGATGTGTAAATGTAGATGCAGCAAAGATATGACTATAAGTGCGTTCAGTGGAAGATGTCAAGGAGGAAGAAGTTAAAGGATGACCATTTTCCCTTGCAACAGTATTATCAACTGTTCACAGAATTACGCAGCTGTTAAGGCTGGAAGGGAACTTCTGAGGCCATCTCGTCCAACCCCTGTGCTCAGGCAGGGTCAGCTAGAGCTCTCTGAGTATTTGATGTGTTGGTGTCTTCAAGGGAAATCAAGGGGACACTGGATTGTTTCTTGTATGCACCAAAAATATTTTTTTAATATGCACTTCTGCTCTCTGTTTGTCATAGCTGGGAAGATGTTTTTGTGCAAACTGTGTGAGCTTGTCTGTGGTTTTTCAAAATAGAGATTGGCCACAGCTAGAGAAGGGGGTGGAGGACAGATGGGTACACTAAAAACTTGCTGATGCATGTTTGATTTGTCCTGTTTCCAAGCTCATTGTCAAGTTGATCACCGGATCCAGGATTAGGAGATAGTCTAGCAAGTGCCAGCCACAGGAACCACTGGAGTTTTTGTTGTCCTCCACTGCAGCATGAGACTGCTGTATCCTAGGCATAGCTGAAAGTTTTGTTTACTGTCACCCTAATATTGCTGCATTCTAGACAGCTTGACCAGCCAAGCAAGTGTAAAACTTTCCTCTTTTTCTGCCCAACTCCTCCATTTGTATCTGAGTGTCTTTCCATTTTGTGCATCCCCATTTAACATCTTGCTTCTTCATTCCATATATTAAAATTTTCTGTTCACTAGCTACAAAGACGTTCTAAGAAACAGTTTCTCCCAGTTGCAGCCAATTCTTTGTGCCAGATTTTGTCTATCTGAATAGACTAATGTTAAAGTTTACTACCTGATTGTCTCTGGTCTGGCAGGAAAAGTGATATCACTTTGGTCAGCAATCTGTGGATTCTGTACACGGTGGTGCTGTGATCACTTGGAGAGCATTTTTCTTTCACACATTTTCCTTCTGCATTGACAGGGCTGCACAGGCAGCTTCACTAGCATAATGGGATACCTATATCATATTAAAAAATGTGGGAAGGCTGCTTCTGAGCTGGAGAAAATGGCTATGAAGTGCCATCACTGTGGGAAAGCATACAGATCGAAGGCAGGACTTGTCTACCACCTCCGATCTAAACACGGGCCGGTAAGTGCAAGTTGCCACAGCTACCAGGTAGTGCAGTGGTACTCGAGCCATTCACACCTGAGACACGTGTGGGCTTTTGCTTACTGCTTGGGTGGGTAACTGGGGTAGCAAATCTGCATTTTTCTGGCTCTGGAGTATTGTGTCCTTGATGCTTTCCTTCTAGCAGCAGCTGTTGCTGTTCTGTGACTAGGATGAAGTTTTTAATAGTAAATCACCATGGCAGCAGTAAACTCTCCCCAGCCTGACTTTTGCTCCATGAAAGAATGTTGCTTTTCTTTGCTCTTAAAACACCCAACTCTGGAACAGAGCAGGCAGTAAGTGCCATGCTTGTCCATGAGGGTTTTACAGTAAATGATGTGATGCCCTTTCAAGAGGTAGCTGCGTGAAACTCTCTGCCTGAGCCTTTCTGCCGTGACCCCCCGGATCAGATGTGGGGGTCTGTCTCACCGGCAGGATGCACTTCTGTCCCATGTCTGCGAGAGAGAGCCACAGCTGCAGCAACATTCTCGTGAGGGATTTGGCAGCATATTTGTTCACAGTACTTAGTGTAGCTGAAACAGGAACCAGTGAAGGAGGCTCACCTTTTTTGACCTCCATTGCAGGTCACTTTCCTCCATGAGGAGAGAAGAACAGAGAGCCTGAAGGAAATAAAACGGGAGTCCAACAGCACAGGCAGAGTTCAGAGGCGATCTGCAAAGGTGGCGATCTACTATCTCCATGAGCTGGCTGGAGAAGAGCTGGCCAAAGAGTGGCCCAAGAGAAAAGTCCTGCAGGACTTGATCCCAGATGACCGAAAGGTACAAGGCCTTGGTGCTGTGTAGGGTTTGAGTCTTTCTTCACATCAGAGCAGTCTTGCACTGGGATCTACCCAGTGTTTAGTGGCCACAGAAAGCGATACTGAAGAAGTAATGTCTTGTGGGAAGGATCAGGTTTTGCTCTCTCTGGTCTTAGATGATGATATTGCTACAGTAGCATTTGCTGTGGTGGAAGTATTTTATCCAGGGAGGCTACAGTGATTTTTCAGGTCCTATTGCTGTAATTTTCAGTGTGCACAAGTGACAAAGTTACAGGCAGCATGTTGCTCAGAAGTCGTAGATCACTGCTGCCATGCAGGGATGTTTCACAGTTTTTCAGGCTTCAGAGTTTCCAAGAGCATCTTTTAGTCTGAGGGGAAACCCAAGGGGAAAGGATGATTTATGATTTTAATGGGGTAAGTACATTTAGAAGAATTGTAGTCCAAGTTATGGGAAGTTTTGGATTCTGGTGTTGTGGGGGTTTTTCAGATTTGGTTCTGTTTGTAGAGAGTCACTGAGACAGGAAAAGGTTGGTTATTGAGAGTTTGGCTGTTAGAGCAGGAGAAGAAATAACACTTCTGTCTGACAACCTGGGAGAGAAAAGGACATACTTGGCACTATGTGCAGCCAACATTGCTTCCAGCTTTTAATTCTGTCTCCTTAGCTAAAATATACTCGTCCTGGACTGCCCACATTTAGTCAAGATGTGCTGTGCAAATGGAAAACAGAGATAAAGATGTACCGAAGAGTTCACTGTCCAAATCAGGTAATCCTGCAGTGTTTCTGAAGCCTCAGAGGGGACGGATCTCAGGTCTCTGTGAGCCAGCAGCTTTCCACAACCTGGAAACTTCAGTTTGTCTCTCTGTCGGAGACAAGTTCTGCTCCATCTCAGTGTGGTTGGTCAGTGTAATCAAGACCGTGTTGGACTGTTGACCCAGGATGACCCTCTGGGGATGCGTTTGTCCCTTCCAGAGCCAGTCAGTGGCTGTCGGGCTGGCACAGCTCTCGCAGGCAGCCAGGAGCTGGTCCGGCGGGGCTCTGAGAGTGGGAGAGTGACAGGCCTCTGCCTGCCTAGCAGGTGTATTAAATCTGATTATAAAAGAAGGGAGGAGTAGAGATGGAACTGCAAAAGTAGAGGGACTTTGTCTGGCACAGCGCTTAAGTTTTCTTTTGAAAGCTGGAAATGGGCTACAGAAGACTCGGGTGTGGTGCTGCCATGCGGGTCTAGGGCTGCCTGTGCATGTGCACATCAGGTCCTTACAGCCCCACGCAGCCATCCCCAGCCAGATCCAGCGAGGAGAAATGGCCCCACTGGTGGAGGTGATGGTAGATGTGACACCCACTGCCTGCGTTTGCTATAGAGACAAGGCCTTCCCCCGCCTGCCCCACGCGCCTCATCTCCAAGGGTAAGAATTGCAACGTAACGTTGTATTTGGAGCTGTCCCCAGAAGGCAGCTGTCCTGTTTCAGCAGCCAGTAACCCAAAAGCATGTCTTGGGGCTGTGGGCTGAGCGTGGTCTAGTGACCACAGGCTGATGCCTAAAGCACCACATGGGGTGGGCCTGTAGAGCTGCCCCATAACTGAGAGCATCGATGTCAGGGGCAGCTCTTCTGCTCTGTGCCACGAGACACCAGCAGGGTAGGAGAGGTTGAAGTGTCTTGTCCTTGCCCCTGTGCTTTGTTTGAAATTAATCTCTGCTGCACTTCAGGCAAAATGCAAGCCCTTATCATTTTACTCAGGGTTTTGATAGAGGGTGGATGTAACTGTGACAGGAGTCTCTGTTATGTCTGAATGTGCTCAGAAGCTGGATATATTTAACTTACTGAAAGCTTAAGTCTCTTAATGGTCTGTTTATCGCAGCTTTCTGGCTCTGGAGGGCTCGGTATCTCCCTCCCTCTACCTCTCTTATCCCTTTTGGAATTGTCTTCTGGAGGATAAGACTCTCTTGTGCAGGAAGAAGTGATTTCTTGCTAGAGTTTTGCTGACATGCTCTTTTTTTACTGTTTCAGGGTTGTGAATCTGTATATGGCAGCGTCTCAGGACTCAAGTCTCACCTTGGCACGTGTACCTTGGTTGGTAGCCTTCCTCTACTCACTGTCTTTTACACTAGTAGCCTGACTGTCCCTGTCCCTCAGCTCCCTCCTCGTTTCAAGCTGTTGTCCTGCCATCTGCTACTCTGAGTTCCTCACAGCTGAGTGCTTCCCTGTGTGCTCACGGGGCTGCCACTGCCAACACTGCTTGAGGCAAGGAGGAGGCATCCTAATGGCATGCATTCTGGTGGAACTGCCCTCCTACCTGTAGATTCACAGCTACAAGAGCATTTTTTCCAGGTACAGTGCTGGAGACCCTGTAATGTCTTGCAGAGCAGTCTTATGCTTTGTGGGCATAACTGGTCAGTAATGTCAGTGCTCCTGTAGCTGAAGCATCGTCTGGTACGAGTCAGAGTTTCTACTGCTGGGTTATATCTGAGCAAGACTCAAGTAGAATACAGAGGTGTATCAGCCTTCTAGGCAGCAGTTGCTGATGGATTTTTTTGTTTTGGTGCCAGGGAGACTTTGTGGCTGGTAAATACAAGTGTCTCCTGTGTGAGAAGGAGTTCATTTCAGAGAGTGGGGTCAAGTATCACATCAACTCTGTACATGCTGAGGTAAGGCGGGCAGAATGGAAGTCCTCAAACCCCAGGCTGTTGGAGGTGGGGAGGGTGTCTTGGGAAGGGAATGCTGGGGTTTTTGTGACTTGCTCACTGTTGGGAACAGAATCCTAGGCTCAAGTGGCCTTTGAGTTGTTTAAACTTAGCTGGTCTCATGTGTTGGTCTGGGGAGTGAGTGTTGTGTCATGTCCTGTCCCAGGCTGCTGCTGCTCAGGTTAGCTCTTCAACATTTCCCATGCTTTTAGCCAGGCAACTGCCAAATCAAATCTGCATTCTTGAGACAGAGTGACACCTGAGGAGGAACACTAAAGAACACAGCTTTGTTAGGCAGCTACCTTTCCAGATCTCACATTTCAGGAAACCATTGTCTCACAAAGCAGCTTTATTACAAGGCCTCATAGGCTTTATATGGTATTTCCACCATCAGTGCCAACCTGTTGTCTTCTAAACCCTCCAGGACTGGTTTGATGTGAACACAACTACCACCAAAAGCTTTGAGAAGCTGATGAAAATCCGCCAAAGAGAAGAGCAGAGGAAGCAACGGAAAAAACGACCTTTGACCCGAGGCAAAAAGAAGAGAACTGGGACCTTGGCTGCCAAGAAGCTCCCCACTGCTGGAGCTGAAAAAATGAGGAGAAGTAAAAGAGGTCGTCCACAGCGGGTGGACAATGAGAGTGTGAGTAGTGAGGAGGGGGAGCCTCAAGTTGCACAGAGAGCCGAATTCCCAAAAACCAGCCACAAGCGAGGCCGGAAGTAAACCCCTAGAAGAAGAGGAGTAATCCTAAAGCTTTTCAGTTACAAGCCCCATTTCTGTCAGGCTCATAACCCACAGCACTAATATAAGCAACTGAATGTCTTTAGGACTGTGACTTCACGCTACTCAGTGACCTTGATTTTGAAACTGTTGCCTCTGGTCAGTTGAGAGAGACTTCAAACCAAAGCTGTGGCACAGAGCCTGCCTCTCCTGGTGTAGATCCCTTGGACAGTGGCACTAGCAGTGTAGTTCCTGCTCTGGTTACAGTCTCAGTTTCAGTCATGTTAGTTGCTTGTTGAGTGGTTTCCCGTACAGCAGCTGTCTGTTTTGTCACCTCCTCTGATGGATGAGATCAGGGTTCTTTTTTAGCAGCTCTCTCTCCCTGTAAGGGACTGACTAGCACAGTGTTTAGGTCTCTTAAGGGAGGGGATCCTTTCTTGCACAGGGTGCTCACAAACCAAGCAGTGCTGTGCAGAACACAAAGGCTTTATCTTGCCCTGTAACCGTCCTGCCTGTTGTCAGCAGTGCTGCCACAGAAGAGCAGGTACCCTCTGGCCTGTGCTGCAGTCTGCTGCACAAGGCACCGTCTCCATACGCTGATGTTTAGGCTCAGCACCAGACAGTAGCACGTCTGCTTGGACACAACGGGGCATCGTCATTACCCTCTGCAGAGCCCGGTGTTCCCCGGCATCTCTTCTGTGACACTGGGCATTGAATGTAGAGGGGCTTCCAGTCCAGTGAGGAGTAAATACCCTCCAGCCTTTTGGAGATCCACTGGCCCTTCATAGACCCCCCGTAAGGGATGTAATAAGGTGGCCTTTGTGGGCCCCCGAAGACGCTTGTTTCAGGCTCCCCTGGGGAGCAGAACTGCGGGGCGGCGCGGCGCTGCAGTGTCAGTCTTGCTGATGCTGAGACCTGGGCTCGGCTGAGCTGCCTCGTCGGCATGGTGTTCGTTGTTGTGCCCATGCTCCCCTAGTGTCCTTTTTTTCTGCACTGTAGATGCCACCTTTGTTGTCTTATATCACCTTTCTTTTCAATACTGCTTCCTTTGTGTGAATGAGGTATATTAGCAGTGGCTTCCCTGCATGGAAAAGGTTAAAAGAAGAGGGTTCATTATTTTAAGTCACATGCTGTTGGCATGAACTCTGGATCACAGGGAATATCTTCCCGTGCTCCTAGAATGCGGCAGATGTCATAGAGGCTGGTAGGAAGCAGCAGCACAGACAGTCCTTCTCTGTCTTTCAGAGAACGGGTTCGCCAGAATTTGTTACCCAAAGACCCACTGTACCAGGAAGTTGTGAAATTTGACCTTTTCCTTGCAGTTTTGCAGGCAAAAAGAGAGGCAGCCTGCTCCGTGTTACCTCCCCGTGAATTTTCACTGCCTACTGACGTTGCTGGTGCTGAAATGTGCAGGGCAGCCATTGCAGTGCCTGGCCAACAGCCGGGACTAGACGTTGTGTGTTATTGCCAGAATAATCCCGCTGGCCCTGACGCTGGGAAGTGCGGCGTGGCCTCAAGAACTGCCTCTCCCATAGGACGCGTGAAGCAGACGCCAGCTGAGCACGGTCTGTCCTGTGGGGGTTAACAGCCGTACGGCAACTCCGTGGGGAGTTACGTGCAGGAGTTAGGCTGCCTTTTGGAACCAGCTCTCCCTGGGGCTGCAGCGCTGCGCTGGAAGGAGGAATATGTGGACTTCTGTGCAGGGTGTGTCAGGTTTATAGTAAGAGGGGCAAGATCAGAAGACGACAAAATAAAATGTCGCCAGTGCGAGAATGTGGTTTCTTGTCTGTTTGGTGTGTAGTGTTCTCGGTACCATCCCTACTTGCACAGCACACCCCGGCCTGCCCACTTGCTTGTCCTGCATGCACTGGTGCTGTTGTCTGCACCATTTCTCCTCAGTACTCCACTCTACACAGCTGTACTTTGACCACACCTGTTTAGTACTTTCCCACCCAATAGATGGACAGCACAATAAACCTATGAATTAAAGAAGGTTTTTCTTAGTGGATTTCAGTCTGGAGTCCTATTTACTGTCATTTGTGAGTTACTAACCAGACCTGTTTCTAACATGGATGCTTCATGACCACCTGGATTTTGTAGAATTACATCAACAACATATTCTCCCACATAACATCGTTATCCAGCAGTGCATTCATACTCCGTCAGTGTCAGAGCAGATGCTCTGTGGGGCTGGCTCAGGCTGGTAAGAGGCGGTGGCAGTGCTGTGGCAGCACAGTCCTCACGGTCTGCTCAGGAGCACCTGGGGATGGATGGAGCAGGCTGCTCAGTGTGACTGCAGCTGTGCTCTGCTGCTCTGAGCACTTCATTGCAATGTTCTGCTCTACATTGTTAAAAGTTCAGTTAGCCTAACGTTTTGCAAATCCAGGTCAAAATTCTACCCTGTAGAATCATAGAATGGTTTGGGTTGGAAGAGACCCTTAAAGATGATTTAGTCCATACCCCTTGCCACAGGCAGGGGCATCTTTCAGCAGACCAGGTTGCTCAGAGCCCCATCCAACTCAGCCTTGAATGCTTCCAGTGATGGAGCATCCACAGCTGCTCCGGCAACCTGCTCCTGAGTCACCACCCTCACTGTAAAAGCCCAGGCTTCCTGGGCTGCAGGCGCGTGTTGCTGTCTCAGGTCCCACTTTTCAGTATCCCCAAACTTTTTACAATTTCAGCCTCTGCATCTCGTGTTGCTCAGTCCAGGTAACTTAAATGGATTTATGGTATCAGAAATTTCTTCCTGCATATTTGTAGTCATAATTAACTCCATACATAATTTGCTACGTGAGCTAAAGAGACTTGATAGTCCAAACAGCTTTTTCCTGTTGTTCTTTGCTAACATTTTATATACTGAGCAGTGTATTTTTGGCTAAGTCCAGAGACATGAACCAAACGGTACCCTTTAACAGCCTGTTTTAGGGAGGATACAATGATAAAGTTGCTCTGCTCTTAGCTACCTCTTTTTTTAACTCATCAACTGATTCATTACACTTCACGTTCAGTTTGTGATTTAAGCACATTTTTCAATTGTTCTGAAAATGCGTCTGAGAACCCATTTCCTTTGTTTCTAGAAATTCAAGTTAATGGGGTTTAAGGCCAGACAGCACATGATGAACTCATCTGTCCTTTCTAAAGCATTATGATATATTTCACGGAATTACTCTAGCAGAGACCTTAATAACTACTTTTTATTGAGCAACTTTTCCAGAAAACTTGGTTGTATAATCAATCTTTTCATTGCTTTTATTTGTCATCAGCTTTTTTAATCTGCAGATTTCCTTTGTAGTTTTATAATTTCATTAACGTTCTTGATAAAAATGCCAAATAGCTGCAGACTCTGGGATTCTCTAGGACAAACTTCTTTGCAATTTTTTACTAACTAGCATTTAATGGGTTCCACCAATATTTGTATAACTTGGGGCCAAGAACAATGCCTTTCAGAAATTTATGATGTCGGTAGCTATGTTTACCAACCTGGACTTGCAATTAATTAAAAAATAATGTTTACAGAAAACTGCTCTCTGAAGCCCTGTTGGTTGGTTTTACTTATGATCTCCTTTAATGTCAACTGTTCTGTTGGTTTGCCTGGGAGATTTCAGACTGATAAACTGAACTTACGCTGACCACACAGCTTGTGATTTTTTTAAATACTGGCACAGCACTGAGGTTTGTTTCATTTTTTTTTTTCCTTGGGAGAGAGAATATCTTGGTTTGGGGGGTGGTTTTTTTCTTTTTTCTTAATCATCAAGGATTTCCCCATTGTTCTAAAACTTGTTAAAAGCCATTAATAATAATCCAGATAACTTTTGGGGAGCGAGCTTACCATCCTTGCCTGCAAGTTATCCAGTGCTGTAGCTTTAGAGATGTTTAAGCTGTTTTGGTGATGCCAGAATATCCAAAAGAGGTGGAGCCGTTCTGTTGAGCTTTGCAGGAACTGTGTAACAGGGGATGTGTCTTACGCAGAGACAACAGCAGCGATTTGTCATTCCAGCCTGGTGGCTGCGTGTGACACATGGGAGTGAGGTCACTGCAGCAGACATCCGGCACAGAGCTGTGCAGCTCTGTCGCTCTGCCCTGCATCTGACTTGGTTTTTAAAATCTCCATTGGTGAGGCCAGGCAAGCTCTTCACTGCTTCGTTTTCCTTGCTGTAGAATCAGCTGCAGCTTGGGTGTTTCACTGTGCAGCTGCAGTGTGTCTGGGAGCAGAGCCAGGGCCGGGGACCGGCTCCTGGAGCAGTTTGGTGCTCAGTGCCTGCTCAGATCCGCATGGCGAGAGCAGGGCTGGAGGGTGACATCACCCAGGGACGCGCCTTGCCTCTGATGCTACTAATGAAGCCAACTCAGCATGACATTATTTCTCAGAGTGTTGCCTGACTCCGAAGGCCAGCTGTCTTCAAAATTAAGTGGGTCGATTTCATAATTAAAATACAGCAGGACTGAGACTGGGGGGTGGAGGGTGGTTATATTGGGCAGCTCCGCTGAGACATTAATTAGTGCAGTGTCCCTTTCTATGCATGTTGTATCAGGTCCCAAACCTCCATCTGAATGATGCTTAAAGGTCTTCTAAATCAGAGGCATTTGTTTTTAGAAAGTGCAGCTGTGCCTCAGAAGCAACCTCTTTGCCTTTCTTCAGAAGCAGGTAACAAAAGCCAGTTGGTTATTCAAACAAAGCCCTTATTTAAACATAGACTAACCATAAACAAAGAAACAGCCCTTGCGGTTGCTGGGTGAGACAGAACCAAGCAAAAGGTTAGGAAAATCATGGCCAATGTTGTCAGCTCCTCCTGACCAGGGAGGGCTCCTCCTGACCAGGGAGGGCTCCTGGCCCGCACGCTGCAGCACGTGCTGGCCCCAAGAGGCCCGTCCTGAGCTGCCCTCGGTGGCCACACTCTTCCTGGGCAGCCCCAGCCCAGCCCAGGCCTTGCACACGGGCAGGGGATGCTCCTGCTGCCCCAGAGAGGACAGATGGTACCTGTGGTGCCGGCTTTGTGGTCAGATGCTTCACATCAAGGAAACCAGAGGGCAGCCCCTGTGGCAATAAGGGTTATAGTAAAGACGAGGACTGATGTGCAGAGGAAGGATGTGGGGCATGAGGGGGCCACTAGGACATCTGTGAAAGGCAGACAGACCCATACATCTGTTTTAAGTATTCTGAAAACAGGTAAACCTCAGAGGAAGACTTTTCCATGTATCTTCAACTATTTCTTGCTGCTTCTGCTATTTGAATTTCCAAAAGATTTTAACAAGGCCCCTCACCCAGTCCTCTTCAAGAATTGAGACTGCCATGCAAAAGGATGGTTGTCGTCTTGGGGGCTAGAGGAAGCATTTGGAGGAGACATCTGGAATTGTCCAGGGATCTCAGAGGGTTCCACATTAGCACTGGGCTGTTCAGAATCTTTCCCCGTGATCGAGGAAGTAAGTGGACAGGGACTCGGAACAGGTGTGAGGGTTACACAGACCAGTAAAAACTGAATGGTAACCACAAAGATATACTGGAGCATCTTAGAATGCTAAGTGGTGGGAGATGGAACAGCAGATTAAATTCAGTATGATAAAATGAAAGGCACACAGTAACATCTGTACTGCCCTGGCAGTCCTCAGACTTTCAAAGATGGTTTGAGTTTCACCAGCTGAAAAGATTGCTGCGTTTAAAATGGGGATATCCTGAAAGCCTGCAGGAATGCTTCACAGCTGCTTACCCCTGAAGTGAGCTGTATATGGATGCTCTTTCCTCTTCAAAACATCTTGCCATGGCTACATCAAATACCATCTTCCAGGACAGACTCCAACCACCCTCAGTTATTAACACTGGATATTCTTTTTGCATGTACACTTCCTCAGCTATCAAATGAGAGACCTCAGCAACCTTCCGTGTGAGGGTTGTTGCAGCCTGTTTGTTTACATGGGACTGGGGGTTAAGCATCAAATAACCAACTGTTCACTTCACTGCAGGTCTCCCTTCTCTTCGTTTGTGTCAGAGAATGATATCTTCTTTAAAAATGTGTGCATGTCTGCATGCATAGATAGATACACATATATAAATTTAGATCTATATACCGGACCTGTTGCTCACCAACACGGAAGAACTGACTGGAGAGGTCAAGACTGGCGGTAGCACAGGCTGCAGTGATCATGCCCTGGTGGGGTTCATGGCCTTGAGGTGTATATGCCAGACAAAACCTATAGCCGAGACCATAAACCTTAGGAAAGTGAACTCTCAGCTGTTTGAAGGATGGGTGCATGGCATCCCCTGGGAAATTGCCCTGAGGAGTAAAGGAGCACAAAGAGCTCGGGTTTTCTGGTTTGGGTTTTGGGTTTTTTTTCCAAAGTTTGAGTAAATATCTGACAAGAAGTCACAGGTAAAATGCAATGGCTTGATAGGACAGTGGTACATGTCGCCTGCAGCCCGTTGTCTGAAATACTTACATTTGGCCACTGTCAAAACAGGCTCACTGAAGATGCCTCAGCCCTGAGGGCATCCTTGGTGAGAATTTCTTGGGCTTCACTTCTAAATTATATTCATGATACAATTCTTGCTAAGAATATGGAATATTTATATGGAAAACTATTGTCATTGATATGCTAATATTAATACCAGTGCTGATAAATTCGTGGCTAAAACAATTTTTCTTCTGTCTTCCCTTCAGTGCAAGGTTTTATGTTTGTCTCCAACCCACTGTCCTGGTCCAGACAGGCTAATAGTCTTAAAACTTTCAGATCTACAATAATCAATCCGTATGTCTCATAATATGTATTAATAATACAACAGTCTGATTTCTTGTGTGTCTTCAGCTTCGTCTCAAGTCTGTAACACATTTGGACACTGAGAAAAACTCCAAGAACCAACACTTCTGTCTGGATATGTCTAGATGAGCACATTCTTTCCTTCTGCAGCTTCTCCCGGGGTTCATGCCTCACTGGAGCTCCCCTGGAGCCAAGGAGGGGTGATCATTTCATCAGCAATAACCGGTGCTCACAGAGCTCCCTTGGGGTGAGCAGGGAGCGCAGCCACCCCGGTTCTGGACCCTGTGGGTCTGGTGAAGGACAAACACTTCATCCTGGTTGTAAAGACCCATCACCTGCACCCGTGTCTGTGCTGACACAAGGCTGTAACTCGCAGTGATTTCAGCTCTGTTGTTTGGAGGGAGCACAGCGAAGCCTGTGCCGTGGGGCCGAGTTACAGCCCTGCCAACAGCAGGACTGTGAGAGAGCAGCGGGATCTCCAGAGCTCCCCCACGGGAGTGGGGACATGATCCTGACCCCAGCACGGGATGGGGCACATGTGGCATTGACTCCAGGGA